GTTAAGTTGAAAAAGTTCTACTTTTTATACAAATTTTCAAGTTTTCAAAAATTCAAAAAAACTTTTTTTTGCTTTGAAGATGCAAAATAATCAAAATAAGTATAAATTTATTTTGAATGTAAGTTAGATTCATGTAAATTTTATATTTATTGGTAGACTCATTACTATGGCAAACCCTTATAAGCAGAGGTGTCATGGAGGGTATACCCACTGTTAGTTTTCTTATTAGTGCATTTACGTATTTATAAAATAGTTAAAGAGTATAGACTAAAGAATAAAATAAAAAGTAATACGTGGGTATCGAATATAGGTACGTTTGTCATAAAACACAAATTTTGAATAATTCTTATCAGTTTGTTTAATCTCTACAGTCATACCACATATAAACATATATCTGAAGTTATAAACACACAAATATGGCTCGAGACTATTATCATTTTAAAAATAGAATATAAATGTAAAACAAAACACTGTCAAAGTGTATAAATAAATATCAATAAAATAAATAGGATAATGTTTATCATTTCACGACAATTTTATTGACATTTGACAAAATTTAAAACATCGATCAGAAATTAACGATATAGCACATACTAAGTTGAAACTGAAAGTTATTGGGTTAACCTATAGCTGTTGAAATTGGTAATTTGTATTTTTCCGTAATAAACCGTTTACCAACCAATCTAGTATTTAATATATTACCTATAATGAATTAAGATAGTACTAACATATACGTACCTATTCACGTTTATTTCATTTATGTTTTAACGATTTGAAAACAATGATTGTAAGATTATTTTATTACTGCATAAAGTTTATTGTTTATTTATAAAAAATATAACAGTATCTAATAATATACTTATCGATTGTATGACTATGAGATTTAATTTATGTAAGAACTTAGAAGTGTCAGTAAAAATGGGAGGGTTAGGAGTTTTAGTTGCATTATGTAATAATTAGAAAATACATGTACAGTTAAAACATCACAATATTTGTATTCCGTCCCCCAAAACTATGTTATAATTAAGGCCTTTGAAAAGTAGTGTGGGGGTGAAATTCCCCACGTTTCCTCATTTAGGTTTTTAACTTATCTATTGATCAAATTACGACTATATCACTGTTGATAATGTGAAATATTGTATGTAGAAAATATAAAGTGCAATGGGGGGTGTGGGGGGCAGAGCCCCCCACGTTATTTTCTATTCATTATACAGGCGTATACCCATAAACATTTTTAGGACTACACCACTGCTTATAAGGTATTTTAAAATAAACAAAATAAAATTTTTGAACACAAAAATAGCATGATTTTTTACTACGGCAGTCATTTGCATAAACAAGACAGGTCGTCGGGACAATTTTTTTTTTAAATTTGTAGTACGTAACTTAAGCTTTAATTTGACTTATGTTTTAAGAATGCAGTGTTCTGGAACATTTTTAAAACTTAAGTTGAAAAGTGAGCAGGTAAAGGGTCAGATTTTTAAAAAAAATTTATAAAATAAAAGGGAAATGCATAAGGTTTTAATATAAAAAAACCAGCACAGGGGGAGGTCGTGGCACAGTAGTGACAAGGCATAGTTGGGTCAAGTATAATAATATCATAATAATAATAATATCATAAAAGACGCTTCGATGCAATTCTGTAGATAGTGTTTAATTTAAAAAAATTGGTGGATTATTCCAAAAGCTACATGATTTCCTATTTCCTTATTTGTATCCTGATTACAAGTTTATAAATTTATTAGTGTAATATATATATATAATAAATAAATATAAAAAGGGAAATGGTTTTATTTAAAAAAAATGTATTTCGAATAAAAGAGGTTAATAAATAGTATTTATCATAAAATATTAAATTGATCCATACACTTTTCAAAAAATTATAACATAAAATTAAAAATATAAAAAATAATTTGTTTACAAAAATCGTATTTTTTTTTATTAACTTTGATGTTTGTTTTTACTGTGAAGACAAAATAAAGTCTGAAATTTTTTTTTTTATAATAAAGTATATTACAAAAGCTTTAATTTAAGATACATATAAAAGTGTCAGAATTTCCGGGATTTCACTTTAAAAAGTTAAGTTGAAAAAGTTCTACTTTCTATATAATTTTTTTAGTTTTGACCCCCCCCCTATATTAAGGAAAATGGTCTGATTTACAAAAAAAGTATGTCGAATGAAAGATGTATGTAAATACTACTTATGAAAAAATTGTATTGATACATACATTTTTCAAAATGTTATATATGTTAAAGTTAAATATATAAAATAGAGAATTTTCATTCAAAAATAACATTTGGTAGCCATTTTCACCGTGAAGATAAAATAAAGTCCAAATTTTTTTTTTCCATAATAAAGAATATTACATTAGCTTTAATTTAAGATATATATATATATATATTATATATATTTAAGTGTTAAAGTTAATTTTTTGTGAAAAAGTTGTCATTTTGCATCACCTTTGTGGGTAGGTAAAGGGTCAAATTTATAAAAACAATATACTAAATGATAGGTAAATAACTAAGGCATAAAAAAAGGCTATAAAAAAAAATTATATTGATTTGTTCATTTTTGAAAAAGTTATGGCAGTTTTAAGTAAAAAAATTGAAAAAATATCATAGTAAAACTAATAACTTCTTATTTTCGCATTGAAGCTAAAAATATATATTGGTTCGTTTATTATTCAATAAGTTATGGAAGTTTTATGTACCAAAAGAACATTGATTTTTTACACGAAAATTACATTTTTTCTTCAGTTTAACGGCCATTTGCACATTGTATATAGGTCGTCTGAATTTTTTTTTTTTTTTATCTTATAGTACATAATGTAAGCTTTAATTTAACATGTGTTTAAAGGACGCAATATTTTTGTAACATTTTCAAAAGTTAAGTTGAATAAGTTCTACTTTTTATATATATATTTCAAGTTTTGAACGCCCCCTGCACCCAGAGAAAAACCTCGATCTATATAATAAATTCATTATTCAATTTGATAAATATATCATTACTATTGAATCTATGATATATTTATCAATATGATGATTTTTTTTCTTATCTTGAACAATAATTATTCATAAGAATAATTATTTTGTTCGTATTAATAAAACATTATCATAAACCCTTGATAAAATTTCTCTATCAAAATTGATTGAGGTTTTTCTTTGGGTGTGTATAAGAGGAAATTGCCCGATTTAAAAAAAAAGTATGTCGGATGAAAGGGATATATGTAATATATTTAGAAACAAAAATTTGTGTTGATCCATACATTTTTCAAAAAATTATAGCAATTTAAAGTTGAAAATAGATAATCGAAAATTTTAACACAAAAATAGCATTTTTTTAAACTACGGCAGCTGTTTGCACGTAGGAAATAAGTCGTTGGGACGTTTTATAAGCTTTAATTTGACATATGTTTAAAGAACACAATATTTCCGGATCATTTCAAAAATTAAGTTGAAAATGTTGAGTTTTGTGAAAAAGTTACTACTTTGAATACCCTTCTGTGAGCAGGTAAAGTGTTAGATTTTCAAAAAAAATGTTATTAAATAATAGGGAATTATCTAAGGTTTCAATATAAAAAATAAAAATATAAAAAATTATTTTGATTTATTCATTTTTCAATGAGTAATGGTAATTTTTAGAAAAAATTTCAAAATTCACCTAAAATGTTATTTTTGGGAGGATTTTCACCATTTACGGGGAACGAAGGAAAATTTTTTTATTTTTGAGAGTAATGTCTTCAACTAGATATGATTTGTGTAAAACGATACAAAAAAAATTATAAATCGATTCAAATATGATATGGGTTAAAAGAACATTACTAAAAGTTTCTGAAAAGAAAAAAAAAATTTTAATTAAAAAATATTTTGACCTTCAAAATTTGCTATTAAAATACTGCAAAATTTAAAAAATTTAAATAAAAATTTTGATGTTCAAAAAAATTCAAAATTTATAAACTTAAGAATGAAATTGAAGTACTATTTAATATGAGTAAAACAGTGCTAGTTCCACAGTGATAGCTTATTTGGATGTGAAATTATAGGCTCTAGAACATTATGATAAATGATAAAAAATAATAAAAAAAAAAATATATTATTTTTGTTGTCAATGACCTTTAAGAAGTCTATGATATAAATTTCATAAATTTCTGAACTATACCAGCACACACATTAGGTGATTTCACATGGAATGACTCTTAGATGAAATCTGATAATATTATTAAACATTATTTAAAATTAGAGAGAGCATAATCTCTACTATAATTAGATATGTATAAAGTGAAATGGTATACGGTATTTGAATAAATATAAATCTTCATCGAAAGAATTATGGATAAAAATCATAAGACCCTTTTCTTAAATAATTTTTTTTTTAATTTATAAGTTTATTCAATATAAAGTATTAATTTAAAATTTCAACATAAACCGTTTTGTGGCAATTATAACATTTTTGGGACATTTCTTTTTATTACTGCAACTGGGATTTTTTTTAAAATTATGGCTCTGGTAGTATTATTTCGATACATTCTGTGATCTCCTAACGTACCGTTGAACAATGTCGAGAAAATATCAATAGTTTCTCAGCTACACTTGAAGTTAAAAATACTGGAGTAAAACTCTGTGTAAAAATGTAACATGCAAAAATTAGTGTCACGCTTTTTAACAGTCTCATTAGACATACGACTTTCAAAAATTGTTAAATTGCTATATAATAAAATAACTAATACTTCACTTCATAAAAATTTTAGTTTTATAAAAATTAATATGTCAAGATGCTATTTTTACGATATGCTTATCCAATAGTCAGTTGCAGTATATACAGCTGAATTCATAATCGTTTATATTATTATAAAAAGTTATAATTTTGATAACTTAAAATGTTAATTGTTACTTAAATACATTTACCAATACAATAACAATTCACTTGTTTTATAATTAATAATTAATTAAACATTTATGACGATTGTATTCATAGTTACAGTAAAGTATTACTGAGAAGTGAAAGGAAACTACACGAAGATATGTAGAGGCAATGCACCAATACAATTGATTTCTCCTTCTTAAGAAAAATACCCCTTCCTAAGATAAGGTGCAGAAGAACATTCATGGTTCATGTCTTAACTTCTTTCTTTAGTAAATATAATACAGTGGATCACTGTGTGAGTGTTTGTGACCGAGTTGTCTGTACAAAATTGTAATAATAAAAATGTGAACTTTCTATTTAAAATTAAAAACGGATACAGCAAAAATATAACGATTATTTTTTTAACTTATTAAATTGGTTTAAACTACAAGTATGTAAAAAATATAAACTATAAGTTTTGATTTAATTCATTTTGTTACGTAATGATTAAATTAAACTGGTTATTCAAAATTTTTTCTTTAATTAAGAAATAAATTTAATTAAATTTCATTGTCTGAGCGTTAAAGTCACCGAGTTTGAGAATTGGTAATTTAATAATACTTATAATCTATTCATGTTATAGACCTCTATTGATTCATAATTTAAATTAAAAAAATTTTTTTTAGTAATGGCGGCAGTTTTATTAATGATTATTATTACTATTTTAATGTGTCGTGTCAATGGCGGTTATGAAGAACCAGGACCTAAGTATAGATGTCCTAAAAAAGGAAGCATCATAGAACAATCTTTGTATCCTTGTCGATGTGTGGCGGAGTCAGATAATGGCTTGGCATTGCATTGTGAAAATAGCAACTTAGCATCATTATCTGTTGGACTATCGAATGTTCCGTCTTTAAAAAATGACATTCAAATAGATAATTTGACAATTTCTTCATGCAATATTGGTGATTATTCTAAAATATGATTTATTTTAATAACACAACATGTTGTACTAAAGATAAGCAGGTGAAACAATTTAATAAAATCTAAGTTCTAGCAAAACATTTTACTATAGAATGACTAGCTATGTAGGAAATACATTGAGTAAATTATAATTTTAAAACGGTTAATACATTTTTAATAATCTGAAAAAAACTGTCAATGGCTGATGATTTTTTTTTTTTACTCCCACTCTTATGTCAATGAAAACTAAGTAACTATATCAAATAATTATTTATAATAATGATTATAATCAATAGGAAATATTATTTAAGCAATAATAATATATAATATTAATATTAATTAGATATGAAATTGTAGATTTTTAATAAATGTATGTTTTTAGGTCGTTTATATGGGGATTTGTTTTATTCAACTGTCATTAATAGGATATTTATACAAGATACACCCATAATAATATTAGATGATGATTTGTTCATTGGTGTCAATCAAACTCTAATTGAACTTCATATAATAAATTCTAAATTATCAGAATTTCCTTCTGGTCCGTTTAAAGTAAGTATAATAACTTAAAATTATGAATTCGTGTTGGTGAATTTAAAAAAAAAATTGTGTACTCAGAAAAGAACCAGAAATTAAAATGTATACACATTTAACAAAAAATGTATCCCATTATAATATGTTATACTAAAACTGAATAAAATTTTGGAATGGAGATAAAAGAGCCAACCCTCGAAAAAAGTATACTTCTATTATTTTGGTATGTAATTTATAGAAATTCACTTTGATTTAAATATCAAATAGAAATTTTTATCTGAACCAAAAAGTAATTGCTCCATTTTTTAACCCAACTGCTCTTAATTTTATTGTAATTTTCATAAAAAATTTTGTTGAAAATATATCTAACACATAATACATATAAAACTATTAAATTTATTTCATATTTTTTAGATTTTGGGAAATTTGAAAGTTTTAAATTTAGACAAGCATGCGATTTTTCATTTGTCTCCAAATATGTTTGCTTCTAGTCAATTATCATCTCGTTTGGAAAAATTACATATTGCAAATGGAAAACTTTCGTCTTTTTCTCCAGATACATTTTTTTCGTGTAAAAAACTAAAACATCTTGACCTTCATGGTAATCAATTAGAAATTTTACAAAAAAATCAGTTTAAAGGGCTCAGAGATTTGGATACATTGGATCTCTCAAATAATAATATCAACAAGATAGATTCATCATATTTTGGAGATTTAACTAAAATGGTGACCATAAACTTGTCAAATAATTCTTTACCGACTGTTACTAGGTTCGCTGTTTTTGATAATTTTTATTCGAATTTTTAATGGTTTTTTCTGAAGATGATTAAATTATACATTTTTTACTGACTTTTAGAGGAACTTTTGCTAGAAATACATTATTACGATCAATGAATTTAAGCCACAACAAACTTACAAAATTGGATTCAGAATTGTTCAGAGGATTGCGTTTTCTTCGAAGACTATTCCTTCATGATAATGAGATTGTTCAAGTTGAAAGAGGTACATTTGCATCTTTGACAAGGATTGGTACAATTAATTTGGCTAGAAATCGCTTAAGTGTTATTGACTATCAGATGTTCGCCGGACAAAACTACGTTGAAGTAAGTCTAGGTTTGTTTAAAATCTATTTATATAAAATAATTACTCAATTAAATAATTTCTGTCACAACTAGATTATCGATGTATCAGAAAATCAAATAACTAAGATAGAAAAGTTGTCTTTCAAAAATTTATACTTAGTTCATATAAATCTATCAAAAAATAATATTACACTAATTGAAAGTGGAGCTTTTGAAAATTGTGCAAATATTACGGTTCTTGACATGTCATACAATTCTATAAGTGAAATCTCCAAAACAGCATTTGATAACATTACTTATGCAACCATATGGCAATTGTCTTACAATCAGTTAACTGACTTATCCCAAGTAATTCTTTTTTATTAATTAGTTATTTTGAATGTATATTTAATGGTTGAAAATAAAAATTATAACATTAATAATATTTTTTTTACGTAGGTACCTGTTGGAAATATGGCCGGAATAAAAGTTTTAAATGTTACACATAATAACATAACTGTAATCCCCAAGGGAACTTTTCCCAAGCTTTACGAATTGCATACATTAGACTTTAGTCACAATTATATTAAATCTATTAGTCCAACTGTTTTTCAGCCTCTAGTCAGTCTGCGTTATATTAACTTGAGTCATAATTCTTTAGTAGATTTAAAATCTGGTACCTTTGGAACCCTACCTACTTTGTTGGAATTGTTATTAGGTTGGAATAGTCTAAAAAAAATTAATGCTGCAACATTTATAAAGTTGTCTTCGTTAAGTTACTTGGATTTGCAATACAATAATATTACCCAAATTCCTACTATTCCAATATCACTATCCAGTTTGATTGTGAGCCACAATAAAATCTCAAGAATTGCACCAGACGTTGCATGGCCACCAATGAATGCATTACTAACACTCGATTTGAGTTTCAACTCTTTAGCAGATAGTTTAACTGAAGACACTTTTTCTAAATTATTGTCTCTACAGAGTTTGATACTTGATTATAATAGTATCACTACACCACCTAGTGCTGCTTTGGCCCCCTTGGTTTCTACCCGGCATCTATCAATGAAAGTAAGTGCTTATATAAATAATCAGGTTTTGAACAAATCAAATTATAATAACCTGGTTATTTATACAATTTTCTAGGGTAATATTATAACACAGCTTGGAATGAATGCCTTTGGAGTATTACCTGTAGTTTTTTTTTTGGATTTGTCATTAAATAATGTAACTCATATGGTACCAGAAGCCTTTAATGGGTTATTGCAATTACAGCTTTTAAATCTTTCTTATAATAGTTTGACTGATATTCCCAATGGAGTTTTCAAAGGTTAAAATTTTGTTAGATTTAATAGTTAGTTTTTTGTCAAAATGTTTCAATGATTGATTAGAATAATATGGTTTAGGCTTAGTATCCCTGAATACTTTGGATTTGTCATATAATCAGATAAGTTCATTGGACAATAAGACAAACAGTGTCTTAGAAGATTGTTTTTCACTTAAGCACGTAAGTAATTCTTTTATTACTTTATAAATTATAAAGGAAAAATTAACAGATTTATGTGGAGAGAAGAAATATTCGTTTGTAAATAACATGAGCTCTTTTTAAATTGAATAATTATTAGACCCGTCTAAAAAATTGAAATAACACACTTGTGATAATTTTATTTAGAAATTTTTGGCTTAATCTATTTTTAATTTTGTTGTCTTTGATTGTCCTAATTATGAGAAAATAAATATCTAAAATAAAACATTATGAATACTTATATTCTATTATACTTTCTTTAAGTGTTTTTGATGTATAATTAAATTATTGTTTTATAACTTGTATGTTTACTATACACTCTAAAAATTAAGTAAGCATTAATATAAACTTTTTATTTATTTTAGTTTAATATTAGTCATAATCAATTTTCATTCTTCACAAAGAAATCTTTTCCCAGTCATATGTATACACCAAGTACTTTGCGGACAATTGATATAAGTTATAATGAAGTACCAGTCATTACAAAAGAAATATTAATAGGTACTGATAAAGTAACATTTTTGAATTTAAGTCATAATTCAATAGATGAAATTAGACCAGGTAAACATTTATTTTCAAGTTTATTTGTGTATGGTGTTAATCAACTCTTTTTTTAAAAAGAAATTAATTCTGTTTTGTTTTTAGGAGTACTGGGAAATTTGACATCATTAAAATTACTTGATTTGTCTTTTAACAATTTGAAAGTAATGAACAATCTAGGAAATATGCCAACAAATTTGACAATCTTGTTTCTATCTAATAATAAACTAAAAAAATTACCCAAAGAGATATTGAATACTGTACCAAAACTGGTTCAATTTGAAGTAGATAATAATTTATTCAATAGTTTACCACCAACTATAGCTAAAGAAGTAGGAAGAGGAGTAAATATTTCATTCAATGGTAAATATCTAAATTTAACTAGATTCTTAAACTCTCTATTGGCATTTATTTTTAAAATACTTACTATTTTTGACCAAAGTAAAATACATAATAAATTTTTATATCAATATAAAATGGAAACGTCATGCTTTTTTAATTTAAAAGGTGTAATATTTGCTAATAAAATATTTTTAGTTATTATTTAATAAATTTACTTTTATGTGTTTTAACTTATAAAGGTAATCCATTAGAATGTGACTGTACTCTAATTCCTATTAAGCGTTTGTTGAACTCCAAACTTACAGTTGACCCTTATTGGTCTAATATAACATGTTCTAAGTTGTTGTCATCAGAATTATCATACGTAAGAAATTTGAATGAAAATGATTTAGTCTGTGATGTACCTATTGATAATGATGATGGTACATTTACTAGTACTCCTGATATAAAAATCAGAGGACTGAAAAAGTAAATATTTTGTTAAGGTATTTTTAAGGTGATCAAATAGGTAACTATTTAAATTTTTTTTAAGAATTGGTAGTTCCAATTTGAAGATAGATTGGTTAGTATTACAAAACAAAGAGGACATTGCTGACTTCATTATTTTTAGTGGTAGTAGTAAAACAGGAGAAAGAAGTTTTTCTAAATATGTTCCATATAATTTGAGATCACAAACTATTCGTCCTATTTTTATAAAAGTATTTAATAATATTTTGGTTATTTTTGTCCAATTAAAAATAACAATTGTTTCATATTTCATTTTAGAAATCATCTAACATATGTTTACTTGCAAGAAATAGTTTTGGTCAAGAAAGGCAGATTAAAAAGGCTCAGTGTGTTGATATTAATGATTTAGGACCATGGTCAGTGAATAATGGTTCTTATAATGAAACTCAGTTTTTACCTGTGATATTTTTGTTATCTTTATTGTATATGATTAATTATTGTTATTGAAAAATAGTAAATTAAGAATTAAAGAATTTTATACATTATTTAAACTCTAAGCTTCTAATTAAGTAAAGTAATGCAAAATACAACCACGGTAGGTAGCATCATTGATAGTACTGTTTAAAATATATTTTACTTATTATGTCTAGTGTTAAAAGAATATATTTCTTAACAAATTGAAGCTGTAAAGTTTTAATTTGTCACTAATATGCTGTGTATGGGTATAGCTTTAGTACACACTGCTACCAGTAGCAAATATTTTGTTAATTTTAAGAGTGACAGAAAATTTTTATATTATACAACTAATTATAACAGAATTGATTCAGAGCCTAAAATGTCTAAAATAAATATTTTTGGGGTTGAATTTATTAAATTAAATTTATTTTATGATATTTTTTAATGCTATAAAAATTGTTATAATGATCAATTATTGATTTTTGAAAGGGGCATAAAGAGATCTACATAGTTTAATTAATAATATAAGGTTATAACATAACAAACTATGTGGTTACCAGGGTTGGACTGCTGTGCTGAAATATGAAGATATTTACATCCTTTCTGACAAAAAAGTCTTTTAATAAAGAATGTTAAACATTAGAATTTTAGACATAAATAAATATATAAAAATTGGACTTGACTAACAATGACCATCTCTGATTAGCTTAACTTATTTTTTTGAGTTTCAAAATTTTCAAAATGTTTAGTTTTTTTAATTTCTCCAAAAATTTACTAATTTTAACTAAATAATAAAAACAACTAAAATCACTTCTATAAAGTAAATTATCAACTTTATTTTCTACATTAGTTTATAAAAATATTTTTTAATTTTTTAATTTCTACAAAGTTGGAACAGCGATTAACTTAAATAATGAATATATATTTTGGAATGATTGTAAGTCTAATTTATATAACATTATTTACCAATTGATTAAGTATTTGACATATTAATTAACCGCTCCTTTTGCGAACGTATCTCACCATCCAGAATGGTAGACCAAAACCAGAACTAAAGAATAGTGCATAATACAGAGTAAATTTGTACTTGCTGTAGACATCAAATGGCAAATTCTAAAAGAAAACGAATATTTAATATGATAGTAAAACATAAGCTACCATTTAATTTATCATGTTTTCACTATGTACTTTAGATTATTTCAGTAATTAGCAATGAAATTTCTAATATTAACTATTAATCTAGTAATTTTGAAATTAAAAAAATTCCAAGTTTTTTTTAAGAACATAAAAAAAACAAGTTAATTTTTTTAAATTATGTAATATTTAAATTTCAATATCAGAGAATATTATATGTGATTTAGTTTATTTTTTATATAATGATTAATCTTGAAATATTGATATTTTGGTTAAGTTCAGTATATAAAAAATAAAAAACTAAATAAAAAATAGTTACATAGACTAATTAGGGAAAATAGATTTTTTTTTTTTTACAACCGTTTGGTTGGTTAATACCAATTGGATTGGTATGTCCTGGGGAAATTTAAGTGCAGTGGTTTCCCGTTGCCTTCTGCACTGGGAACATGGTGCTTTTTCGCCACCATAAAAGCGCACACACGGAAAATATATATATATATATAGAGTTTAATTTTTTTGATTATACAAATTTTATATAATGTAATGGCAATTTGATGCAACAGAAATTGAGACTAAAGACCTGCTGTTATTTCTTATTAATATGGCTACTTTTACCTATCTTAGAGTTAAAATGAGTAAGTTGAACATTTTTTTTTAACCAAATTGACCAATTTTTAATAGCTAATAAGCTGTTACCTAATCAAAATTTCCTATAAGACCTACCCGTAAATAAAGGGTCATACCAAGATATTCACAGTATGCTTGCCAAACTCTGATCAGAATATTACATAATAATTAATTTTATTGATTGAAACAGCTAAAGAATCAATAATAAAAGAAACAGTTACGTATTTTTCACACCTAGTCTATTAATAACATTTATAACATCCTAGAAGTTAAATATTAACTTTGAGTTACACATGTTCTTTATAATAAAAATTATATTCTAGATGATGTATTAGTTTATATAAATGTAAATATAATATTTAAACACTAAAATTACAACATACCATAGTGAAATGTATTAAGGGAAGGTTGCTAGAATCTTCAAATTTAATAATCTTAAAATTAAATTTTTTAAGTTAACATGACATATCATAGTGAGATTATGAACTATTACTAATAAAGAATAATAAATACTTCTACATCATATTTTATAAAACAAATTACTCACAAAAAATTCAAGTTTTACTTAAATTATTGTATATATAAGTTCATAGAAGTATAAAGAACAATTGCGTATAAAATAATTTATATTTACATAAATTGGGTAAATATTTTTTTTGATATTCATATTATTCTTAATAATTGATCTAATGACACAAAAACACGTTTCATCGAAAGAACTTACTTTTCCAGGACCTTCGTATCCATGGCCTCTTCTAACAACCGAAGTCGAAAATCGCCTTAATGTTTGTATAGCATTGAGAGACAACATATTGAATTTTTTTCTTTTCTAAAATATAAAAATATTTCAATAAATAAAATAATTTTGTAGTTCGCCTACTGTAAATGTTAAAATAGTAAATACCAATAACAATGGTATACTTGTTACGTGCACCACAAGGTTATCAATGTAATGAAAAACCAGCTGCTGATAAAAAATGTTTGGAGGCAAATTCATTTTTTATTTTACCTCCATAGTTCTTGAAGTTTTGATTTTCGTACACGGGCATATTTAAGACTTAGTACACAGTACCGTTCATTTTGATGTTCATTAAAATCTTTTTTTATTAATGTGTTGTGATCAAGTAATTTTTAAATCGGCTTTTAAGGATAAAATTTAATTTTGTGGTATAATATGATAAGAACAGGGTTTTCTCCAAATAGTGGTCAGAAACTGTTTCCTAGAGAAGACATGAGAGGTCATTCTTGGGATTCCTGCAATTCTCATCTTTTGAAGATTATAAAAGCCGTAAGGCTTTACTGACAAATTTGCCAAATTTTCCGGTATGGTCTGGTCATCTAAATAGTCTAATTGATTGTGGCAATGATTTTTTGCATTTTTTCCTTAATTATTTTTATGTTAGAATTTTGTTTTTGAATAATCCACTAATTTCTTAAAATTAAACACTATTTACAGATTTGTATCGAATGATTTGTTTCTTATGATAGTGATTTTAATCACTGTCATATATCATCTATACTAGTCCCAACTAAGCCATGCTCACACTGTGCCGCGACCCCACTGTGCTGTCGTTTTTTAGATATGCTCATGATTAACTCATTTATTTGATTAAATAACATAATATCAATTAAACGATGTCATAAAATTTATTTAAATATTAAATTAAAAAAAGTTCTTATATGGATTACTAGAATACTTTTTTACTAGGTTCATCAAGGAATCTAGATTATGCCAATGATTGATATATTATATTTGACAATTTTTACGAGTGTAAAAGAAGATTCATTTGGTTTCATATTACTTTTTTTAATTAAATTGAAAAATCAAATTAGTATAAAATATTTGGCTTATTACAAAAAGTTATTAAAAGATTTTATTTTTATAAAGAGTTTCTTTAAAAATATTATTTATCATAATATACTATGTTAAAATCGGCTCTATATTAAGTTTTTTTTTCTAGATAAAGTAAATAAATATTAATATAAGTAAATAATAAAGTAAACTAAAAAAACACGCTTTTAAAGCACATCGAACTAAAAAGTTAAAAATAATTTTAAAAATAAGCTTTAAACAATTATGAACAAAAAATACTAGTATTATTGTGATAAAAGCGTCGGGCGCTCAATATACGAAAAATATGGCACAAAGGATCCACGCTTTTATCACAATAATACTAGTATTTTTTATTCATAATTGTTTAAAGCTTATTTTTAAAATTATTTTTAACTTTTTAGTTTGATGTGCTTTAAAAGCGTGTTTATTTATTTTTCACTTTTTAGTTTCATGTTATGATAGTAGTTACTATCAATATCATGGTTGTAACGGGTAAAGGGAAATCAGAGTTCGATTCCGGAGAGGGAGTCAGACAAACGGCTACCACATACAAGGAAAGCAGCAGGCGCGCAAATTACTCACTCCCTGAACGTGGAGGTAGTGACTAGGGATAGGATATTGAAAGAAAGTATCGATACTTAGTATTGAAACTAGTATCGAATACAAATATTGATATCAGTAAAATATCGAAACAAATGTATCGATATCAGTAAGTATCGAATCATTTTATAAACCTATATTTCACAGTATCAAATTATACTGTATGGAATTATGAAATATTGTAATTTTAGGATTCGATTCCTACTGATATCGATACTAATGAATGTTAAAAATATTTGTATAATTAGTACCAATGGGCAATGACTATAGTCATTACTCTGTTATTTCTATTTCTATCCACTAGTAAAAACCAAATATTTGCAATTATATTTAAAAGCCTAAATATACGTTATAAATTTGAAATACAAATTGCCTTTTATTATTTATTATACATTAATTTATACAAAATACTAATAATATTATAATTTATAATTGGTCATTATTAGCTAGTCTTCACATAGGTACATAAAAAAAAATACTAATATAAAAAATATAACTAAAACCCATCTTCCTCTGGGATATCAGCTAACAATAATATTTTTTGAAGGCGAGAACTAGTTAAACGATTCCTAGATTTGGTTAATATTGCTCCAGCTTTTGAAAAAAGTCGTTCGTAAGGAACAGATGTTGCAACCATGGTGAAATGCAAACGGGCTTGTTTATACAAAATAGGAAATACGTGTTTCATATCCTCCTATATTTCAAGAGGATCAGACTTCAGGGTTGATACTGGATTTGATAAGTATAACGATAACTCATCGTTCATAAAAGTTGTGGTCTTTTTCTTTTTTTGGCCATGAAACAAATATTTATGATGTGCCCAAAAATCGAAGTTGTCTGTTTTAGAATGTTCTCCTTCTGACTCACTAGAAGAAATGGTGTCCAATTTTGACAACTTTCTTAAATCTGCTATCGCAATTGAACAGGCTACTGGATCATTAAAATGTAAATTTTTAAATCTCGGGTTCAGAAGTGTAGCAATTGCAATTGGTTTGACCTGTTCAATCATTCCAAATATTCGAGTCAGTTCAGCATGTAATAAGTCTTATATTTCACAAATTACCTCAAAATATGGTTTAATTTGTGTCAATTGTTTTTGCAAGCAATTGATTATTGGTATGACTTTGGAAATTGTAATGTAATTTTCCCCAGAAGATTCTTTCGTCACAAATTCCAATGGTTTTAATAAATCCAACAATTGTTTGAGCGTATCCATTTCAATCGCAGTTGGCATCACAGGAGCAGTATAATCTTTGATTAGTAATGGACTTATTAATGTTACTATCTCTACAAATCTACTGATCATATAAAAAACAGAGTTCCATCGTGTTGGAACATCTAATATTAATTTTTTCATTGACCCTTCTGGAACTCCGTTTTCCGACTGCTTCTTTTTTAAAAGATCACTAACTCTCACGCTATTTTTCACCCACTTTACGATATTTCGAACTTTACAAATAATAGGTTTAATGTTTTTTTTGAAACTAAATTGATGGTATGAGCAAAACAAGGAATGTGTCGGTGTTTACAAAAAGTTTTGTGAACAGCAGAAACAACATTTGCACCATTGTCAGTCACAATACTTATAATTTTTTCTTGATTTATTTCCCAATCTGATAAAAATTTTTCTAACTGTTCACTAATATATTTACCAGTATGCCGCTCTTTTAACTCAGTAACTGCCAAACAAAATGATTTCAGAGAAATGTCCTCTAAGAAATGTACGGTTATACCAAGAAACTTTTTTCTGACATTGTCTCTGTCCATGTATCAAATGTCAGAGATACATGAGGTTTTTTTTTTTTTTACAAACTACCAAATGGCTTTATTATTTAAACGATAAAATTATCTTTATAAATATATTTTACAATAATTGTATATGAAACATAGTTTTATAACAATTAATAAAGAATAAACATGTGTGGAGTGACACCTCCAGCGAGGTGGCTCCTTAACCTAAGTTAAAACTAAATATTTTAAACTAAGTCATATGGTTTATGACGTTTAAGACGCCAGATGTCTTCGGAGTTGTCCAAAAGTTGGATGGCTGCTGTGTTAATGTGGTTCGTTAATCTCACCTCATGTTTGCGAGCAAATCTCTTAATTTCTTCTGCTACTGTAGGCAAAATCAAATCACGGTGTATAATGTCATTTCTATCGTACCGATAAGCTGAAACGATGGTACGGAGTGCAACATTTTGGCATCGTTGAATAACATCAATATTAGACTTACTAGTACAACCCCACAGTTGTATACCGTAAGTCCAAATTGGTTTTATGATAGCTACGTAAAGTAGACGTTTGTTATTTAATGAAAGTTCGGAATGTTTCCCGATCAACCAGTATAACTTTTTCATTTTTAGTTTTATTTGCAAACTTTTCTGGCGTACATGGTGTTTCCAATTAAGACGTGAGTCTAAGTGCATTCCTAGGTATTTAGCCGAATCTTTTTGTGGGATAATTTGATGATTCATTTTGATAGGAATATTATTGGTATTACGAAGTGTATAATTGACATGTACTGATTTGTCACTATTGATTTTAATTTTCCAACGTCTTGTCCATAAGAAGATATTATTGATCGAGTTTTGTAATTTACCAGTTGCAGACTGTTGACTATAACTGGTTGCTAATACAGCCGTATCATCAGCGAACATGGCAGTTGTCGTATCATTGGTTGATGGAATGTCAGCAGTATAAAGTAAATACAAAATAGGTCCTAAAACACTACCTTGTGGTACTCCTGCTGTTATAGTTTTCCAATCTGTAACAGCTTGCTCATGCATTACCCGAAACTCTCGTTCAGTCAAGTAAGATTCTAATAACGCGCACCAAGTGTGTGGTAGTTGTTCTCTTAATTTTATAAATAGTCCTTCATGCCAAACTTTATCAAACGCCTGCGCAACGTCTAAGAAAACTGCACAACAGTACTTTTTCTCTTCAAGAGCCTGGTTAATAACATTGGTAACTCGGTGAACTTGATCAATTGTAGAGTGCTTATTGCGGAAACCAAATTGGTGGTCAGGTAAAAGTTGCTTTTCTTCAATCAATGGTTTTATCCTTTTAAGAAGAACTTTTTCAAAAAGCTTAGATAAACAAGGTAAGAGTGATATTGGCCGGTAAGATGTTACCTGATCTGGTGGTTTACCTGGTTTTAGTAACATTATGACCTGAGCTTTTTTCCATAGTTTTGGAACGTATTCAGTTCGTAAAATTGCATTGAAGATGTATGTAAGATAAATAATCGCCTTCTTAGGCAATTCTTTTATCATTCTCGGGCTGATTTCATCGTAACCTGGTGCTTTTTTTACATTGATGTTGTTATCAATTTCTTGCGCCACTTCTAATGGTGAAAAATATTTTATTTTCTCCCGGTTTCTATCTAATTGTAAACTATAGAATCAAGTTCTGAGACTATATTATTAGGTTTAAATACAGTCTCTAAGTAACATGCATATACTTCAGCTTTTTCATATTCACTTCGTGCCCACGTGCCGTCTTCTTTGCGAATAGAATTCACATGAGGTGAATTTGACAAACGCAATTTTAATGCAGCTATAATAACCTCATACTTATTATCAAGGGCATTTTTTATAGTTTTAACAGAGGGAATTTTGTATGATGGTGCCAATTCTTTAATGAACCGTCTAAATCCTTTTCCTTCTACTACAGAAAATGGACGGTAATCTTTACAAATAAAGTAAAGTAATGCCATAGTTATTTTACGAAAATGATGACCACCTTCTGAAATATAAAAATAAAGTATCGATATTAATAACATAAACAACAATAAATTATGCTGATAAACATACCTGCATATAAGCTAATTTTTTGAAAAGCTTCAACAATAGGGTGTTTTAGCCGTTGTAGAGCCTGTGGTGGATCGTCTACACATTCCTAAAAACAAATTAATTATTAGATACAAATCTAAGAATAATTAAGTGATAATTTTATTTTGTAAAAATAGTTATGTATTCATCGCTTATCAAAGTATCGATAAACCAGTCCGATGATAACAATTATTTTATATTTTTAATGTGTATAACCAGTTATTGCCGTACCACAGAAAATTAGATGCCTATTATATAAATACAAATACACAAACACACTATATATATAATTATACAACATATATAATAATTAATAATTATTACCTCTGGCTCAGAGTCTTCCATACAAAGCGTTAGTTGTCGCGACTGAGTTTTTGATGAGCAAGATTCTGGCAATGTAGGCAATGGCGATACAGAACTACAGAAAATATATACACATTAGTGTTTGATAGAGTAACATTACTTATAATTGAATCAGTTATTTTAAAAACAACATAAAATTGAAATTTTACACAAATTATAAATAACTTAATAATAACTTCATAAATTTACATTTGTTTGTATATTTACTTATACATAAATTTATTTTGCTAGTTTGTGATATTCATTATTTATGGTTTTAAATTCTTTATTTTTAATTACATTTATAAAATAGTGACATGTTGTTTTTGAAATTACCGATTCAATTTCAATAAAAAATAAATAAACAATTTAATAAGTTACTTACTTTTGAGTGATAGTCAATTTTGACTGTTTAACTATGGATGATTTAGTATTAGTCAAATTTGGATGTTTTTTTAAATGTTTGGATAAATTTGAAATATTGCCACAATAGCGTACTTCTTGTGAACAAAGCTTGCATAATGCAAGAACAGCGTCAATTTTTTTAAAATATATCCAAACTTTACTTTTTGAAGGAGACATAATTTTTTGAAAAATAATTTAATAAACAAAATATTTAAAAAATGTAAAAAAGAAGGAACGGTCGCACACGTGCAAATCAATCGAAAATTAATAACGTACAAGGTTAATAATGTTAATAATAACTTATTATTGTTATTTAGAGCATTCGTGTATGTTTCCGATTTCATAGTACCTGTCTATATCACAGACTATATGAAAATGTATGTATATAGTCTGTGCGACTGTGCCTATACGGTTATACAGAATGTTTGATATTTCTTGCCTTCTCAGTAAACGGGCATTTAATTACACCGATTAGGAAATCTATTGTATTGTGATTTGTGGATTGTGGTTGGTGGTTCAAAATAGATTGTTTGATACGAGTACTTTTAAACCGTTATGACGGTAAATGATTCGATACTATTTATTCGATACCAATACTTTTTTATCGATATGAGTAAAGTATCGATACAAAAAGTACTTGTATCGAAAGAAAAGTATCGATACTTTACTCGTATCGGTAGTATCGCAACGTCCCTAGTAGTGACGAAATATAACGATACGGTAATCATCCTTTGTAATCGGAATGAATACACTCTATATCTCTTAATGAGAATAAAGCGTGTTAATATATATTTTTAATAGTAATTAGAATATATATACATGTANTGTTAATATATATTTTTAATAGTAATTAGAATATATATATATACATGTAAAACGACTTAAGTACGTAAACGTATCATGCACTAGGTATAGCCGTGTTTTGTGGGCGGGCGGGTCGGACTAACGTTATACTTGAGGTATAAATGGCGGTAAGAATATATACGTGAGCCGTATGGCACGCGAATGGTATTGGCCAGTCAAAATAAAAATTTGTTTATATATATATAATATTGATGACAAGCACGCGTGTACGGGTACGATAACCAAAAATAAAGTTATACAGGAATAGTATTGTCGGCGTTTGATGAGCTTGGGGTGGTGTGGGTTGGGGTGAATGCGTTATGACAGTCTAGTCTCAAGGCCATAGACGANATACGCGACATAATAACACGTGCCGCGTGGAGTTACAAACTTACAAACAAACAACAAACGACAAACAAACATACAAGTGAAACTAATATAAGCGTGTTAAAAATAGCCATATTAGCTTCGATNGACGGAATATGCGATAACACGTGGAGAGTTACAAACATACATACATACATACAGGTGAAACTAATATAAGCGTGTTAAAAATAGCCATATTAGCTTCGATGCGAAGCTGAGAAGGTATTAATTTTACTAAGATGTGTTTTATTTTTTTGTGTCTGTTACCACTTTTTCTCAGCTCTCACCGAACCGATTTCTTTCAATGATACGTAAAAAGATCACAAATCGTATCTAGTCGAAGAAATTATCCTCAAAAATTGAAAAAAATTCCCTCGTTGCCTGTAAATGGGGGAAACCTCCAAAAAAATTAAAATCTGATACTTTACCTGACCACAGAAGGGGATTTAAAATGACAACTTTTTCACAAAAAATTAATTTTTTCAACTTGACTTTTGAAAATATTCCGGAAAGTCTGACACTTTTATATATACCTTAAATTAAAGCTAATGTAATATACTTTATCATGGAAAAAAAAATTTCGGACTTTATTTTATCTTCACGGTGAAAATGGCTACCAAATGATATTTTTGTGTGAAAATTTTCGATTTTTTAATAATGCCTTTTTCATTCAGGATATTAATAAGAAAATAATAGATCATGTAGCTTTTGGAATAATCCACCAATTTTTTAAAATTAAACACTATCTAAAGATTTGCATTGAAGTGTTTTTTTTATAGAGATTTTAATCACTGTCAGATATCATTATACTTGATCCAACTATGCCACTTCACCACTGTACCGCGACCCCCCTGTGCTGGGTTTTTTTTAATAAAATCTTTTTTATTTATTAAATAAATAATAATTGATATCTATATATTTAAGAGCCACATACAACGTATTGTTCACAGGACTATTTTTTCTTATTATTTCTCAGGAAAAAATTTTTTTAAAATAATAATCAAATAATTATTTGATTAATGAAACATGTAAAGCCAAACTTATAACAATAAAATATAACCACAAATGGCATAGAACAATCGGAAGGGAAAATAATTTTGAATTTACATTGATTCTTATGTGAGATGAAAAAAACACGTTCATAGTGGTTTGCTACTGATAGAAAAAAAATGTACAATCGAATCTAAGTTTTTAATACAATACTAAATATTCATCCTGTTGCAATTGATTTATGTTACTTTTGTCTTTGGTCTTTACAACTTTTTTCCTGTAAATGAAACATTAGAATTCAAAGAAATATAAATGATATTTTGACAGCTGATTAAAGTTTTCATTAATCTAAATAAATTATAATTAATTAATTATAATTAAATTAATAAAAATATTTATTTTTTCACAGATATATTGATATAACTAAATATGTACATTTTAAAAACTTTTAAGGAGACACAACAAATAAATTTTTTTATATTAAAATGCAGTAAATAAAAATAAATTTTCGTTTTAAACTCTGCTGTAAAATATTATTTACAATTATAATGTATTTCTAATAATTATTGGAAATATTAAATTTTTACATAAATGTATAAAATAGTATCTATATATAATATCATGAAAAAATGTGAGAATTCATAAAAATATAGGGCTATCTGTTTGTTGTCTTTAATTGAAAGTAAAATATTTATTAAAAGGTAAAATTAAAAATCAACTCTATTTTTATAAAAGTTGCCTAAACCTTTACAAGTAATAGTAAAATTAAAAAAAAATTTTTGCACGTGTAAAATAATTAAAGTGATTCAATGTTGAAAGCATTCAGTAAAGAATTTAGTTATTGTTTGATAAAGGTGATGTTGAACTTCATACATCGAGTGTTTTTTATCCACGTAAATCTGTAACATATTACAAGAAAATTGAATAAAAATTTATAAAAATTATTTTATAAACAATTACTTATGATTTTTATGTATTTTTTTAATAAAATGTATGAATAGTGAAAATCTTACTAAAAATAAAAAAAACTATTACTAATTTTACAAACTAGCTTTCAGCAATCATGTTACTCTAAAAGAGTCTTTATTTGATTAACTTAATAAAAACTTTTTATTTTTCATAAATATATAGTATACAATTAAATTAGATTAACTTGTTTTACTATTTTTTAGCGTGTATACATCCTAAAAAAATAGGTATCTAAATTTGAACTTTTCTTTATCAACACAAAAAGCGATTTAAGAGCTTTTTTCCAAATGTCATTTCATTTAAATAACACCAATCAAATTTTTAAAAATACTCAATTTTCATGATGTTTGGGAGTGTAACAACTTTCTACTGATCAAAAGTTTAGAAATAATTTCAGTCAGAAAAAAGAATATGTCAGTTTAATACATAGCACTTATGATATGCATTATATTTTTATTCACATAAGTGAATAGAAATGAAGACTAAAAAAGAAAAATTAAAAAAAAAAATGAGTGAAAAACGAGTTTGTGTTTAATAATTTATAACAAGGATAGAGGACACAAAAAATTTCATTGTACATAACAAAATTACCAATCGACTATAAGTAAAAAAACGTTAGCAAAAATTTGTATAGTAACATAGCAACCAATGGTTGCTCCGGTACGTACCGAAGTCCCATTAAATAAATATTAGAGAAGAATAATTTTAATTTTGTTTTACTAACTAATTTGGTTTGAAAAATTCTTTTCAGTGCCGTTGTTTCACTACTGAAAAATATTTTTAGAAAGCAAGGAAAATAAAATTTAGATCATCAACGCTATAAAATTGTATGCTTCTGGAAAGGAAAATTGCTATTAAAACAACTATAAAATAAAAATACATAGTAGGGATAGTACAGTTCATAGAAATTATCTAGAAAACGCCCCCGAAATTAATTAAAATTATAAATTGTTAGACATAATACAAGTTCAAATAATAGACTATATTGATAATAGTAGTGTGTCTTCACATATTAAATTACAACATTTTATTAATATCTGCTTTGCTTATTTTTTAGATTTTTAAAGATTATTTAGATTTTATTCAAGCAAAGCAATAATAATTGTATTAATGTTACTTACATGATGTCGAAATGGTATACGATTATGTTGAAGTTCCCTTGACAACAATGCAGTATGCTGAAAATGAACATTATCGTCCAAAGTACCATGAATTATCATGTAGTCTTTACCTCTTAAACCTTCTGCGTTGTATATTAGACTAGCATTTCTATAACCCCGGAAGTTTTTATTATATAAATCGAGATATCTTTCAGTATAAAATGTATCTAAAAAAGAAAAATAATAACTCGCTGAAAATTATTAAATAAGATTGATGATATAGGCGTAGGGTCGAAACATTTTTGATGTGGTTAAATCTCATGTATTTCCTCTTTAAACAAATTTTTAATATAAAATATATATTTTCCAAAAATTCTATTTAAGGGGCAAAACCTTCTATTCTAAATCTATAACTGACATAAAATATTGCTAATTATTAGTTCAAATCAAACACGTTTAGACATTAGCTTACATATTATTAAGAAGTCTTTTTTTTTTATTAGCTTTCAATACAAAGTATTATTATAGCTTAACAATTAAATAAAATAAGAAAAGAAAAAAAAAATAATAATAATAAAAAAAATAGTACAATTGATCTTACATCAACAAAATTACAATAAAATTACAGTAAAAATCGTTAAATAAAAAAACCAGCTGAATGAATGAAAGAAATAACTAAAGAAATCACATCGAGAGAAGTTGAGTTAAGAATAGTGTAACAATTAATCGATATTAAGATATTAAGAGAGATATTAAGATGGGATAAATTATTAAATAAAATAGAACGATTACTTTCAAATGCACAGCAGTCAAAAATTATATTAGGAAAGTCGCAGAGAACTTCATCGTCATGTTTGGGGCAGAAAGGAGAATTGTTAAGGGCCATTTTGTACTCATGAAAAGGAAGGCGATTATGACCAAGTCTTAGTTGAGAAAAAGATAATATATGGAACCGGGAGACAGGAAGTTTATGGAACTAAGGATGATTTGGAATAGTTGGTGAAATTGATTTGTGCCAAGCTGCGATGAGAGAGAAAGGAGAAGACCAATATTCTTGCCATGCTAGAAATATCGTCTTATTAAGGGATGAAACGAAGTCGGATGAAGGAATATTGAGGGTTGGACGATGGGTAATGAATTTGGTAAGTTTGGCTAAATGGTCAGCCTCCTCATTACCAAAAATACCCACATGACTAGGATACCATAAAAATTCGATTTTTGTATTAGCTAAGAAAAGATTATAAATTAACGCTTTAATTTTAATAATAAGGAAAGATCTGGATATTTTGAATGAATTAGAAGAGAGAGAAGAAAGGACTGATAAAGAGTCAGTAATTATTAAAACATTAGAAATATTGAAGGATTGAATAAGCTCAAGGGCCGAAGAAATGGCATAACACTCAGTAGTAAAAGAACAAGATTGTAAAGGGAGAATATCTGAGAATTTAATATTAAGACTAGGAATAAAGAAAGAGAAACCAGCGGAATTAGAGCTTACTGAACCATCAGTAAATATAAGACAATAATTGGAGAAATTAGAGAATAAGGACTCATTGAATAGATTATTAACAAAATTAATAGGGAGAGATTGTAATTGCAGTTTTGAGTAAGAAAGAAAGTGATGGTTAAAGTGAATAGGTGGGCAATAAATAAGAGCCAGGAAGGAGACATAATATATTGGCAAACGATTTAAAGATGTGATTATCATATTAAGGTACGGAGTCAAAATCGAAGAGATTGAAGCAAGTAAAGGAAGAGTTTTGGGAACATAGCGCCAAACTGCGCATAGAGAATGAAAATTATGAAATATCGAGTTGGCAGAATAGGATAACTGTTTAGTAAGAAATGTACAAGCTAGGAGTCGAGAACGAACTTCGATGGGGGGACAAGCGCATTCCACTTCTAAACTTATATTTGGGGTAGAGTAAACGGTGCCTAAGATAGTATGTAAACAAGAAGTCATAAGGGATTTAAGCTTATTATGATGCGCGGTGGAGGCAGAAGAATATAGAAAAGATCCATAATCTACTTTGGAACGTATAAGAGATTTAAATACAAGAAGAAGTGAAGAGGGGTGGGAGCCCCACCATTAAGAAGTCTTACAAAGTATTTTTAAAATAAAGTGAAGTTTTAGATAACAAATACATTATAAACAAACTATGTAAAAATATACTTGAAAAAACTCAATAAACCGATCACCAAACGGGTGATCGATTAATTATAAATCATTAGTTTACTTACAAAATAAATGCAATATTTGAAGAAAAAATTTTTATGTCTTTTAGATGCACATATTTATTAATTTATTAACTAATAATTACTCTTCAGAATCATCCCTTATGACTTAAAGGTGTGTCAACTTAATTTTATTAAATGGCAACATACATATTTAACAAGCTTATAAAATAGATAATAATATAATTAAGAAAATGACTGACATATAAAAACATTTGGACCAGTACTTTGGATATTATTAAGAATTTAAAGTATTGATTAGAGGTGAAGAGTGGGTGCTGATATTTTTATAACTAAACATTTCTCGACTGTACTATTCGTCCCGCTTAGGTATATTGAAAATAATTTCAAAAGTAGTTTTTGAAACTACTTTTCAGTCAAAATGTTTTGAGTGTAATCCAGTGGTTTCTCTGTATAAAGCATGGATGAAATAATTCATACGTAAATAATTTTAGATTATAGTTTGCCCACTAGTTCTAATATGTAAAGAATAAAATTATTTTTTACCATAATATAACCAATCAGTTATTGGAGCAACAGATAGTCCACACTTGAAACGTTTTTCTTCGTCTTTAGCTAAAACCATTCCTGCCACGTAACCACCATAACTCCAACCCCATATGGCTGTATTTGACTTGTCAATATACGATAAGTTGTCTTGTAGATACCTATAAAAATTTTTATATAAGACAATTTTAAATAAATTTATTTGAAAAGATCAATTACTTAGTTACTGTAATTTGGTCTTCAATTTCTACTGTACCAAGTTTTTTGTAGTTAGCAAATAAGTGACTATCCCCTTTACGACCGCTGCCGCGGCCATCTATTTCTGCTATAATGACGTTGTGAGCTGTACTAAAATATGTATTATAATCAATAACAAATACATTCAGTGCTAAGTTTGAATCAGGTCCGGCGTACCTTAAACATATTAAATAAATATATTTATTTAATTGAGTTTAAGAAATTATCATTTATATACTTAATTATGTGTTAAAGCTTTCATGGATGGTAGTATTATTTAGAATAATTACAAATATATCTATGTATTCATGGAGAAAGACATGGATTTATCTGTAAATACTTATATACTTTCTGTTATTTTAAAACGAGGATGTTATGTATCGGTGAATCTGGTTAAATGAGTAAAACAATATCATGTTAATTTTTTCTAGTTCATTCGCATAAAAAACTTAAGTAATAGTTATTTTTAAGATTTTTGATTTCAATATTTATTCGTCTTTCTTAAACTGGGTCCCTGGTATGCTGGATCCCGGATGTACTAGGTTGCTTATTTTTAAAATAACCTTATCAGATATGTCTGGTTAAAAATAAATAAAAATTACCTCAATGTATTGAATTTTTGCTTTTAATTAGATAATTTATATAAGTAATTTGTACTTTACTTACGCATAAACCATCATAGGATACTTGTTAGTTGATGTAATGTCAACTTTTGGAGGTATTGTAAGTTTAACACGAGCTTCAAAACCATCTTTTAATGGTACAGTCATAAAAACTACTTTGGGTAAAACAGCATATTGAAGTTTCTTCGTCAATGATCTATTTGTGTCCCACTGTAAAACAGTTTCTCCAGACTGAAAAAAAAAAATTTAATCTAAGCATGAAATTTTTACCCATATACGGCTATTTAGGGTACTTGGAAGTTTAATTTCTCCCAAATTTGAATAGGTTATCGTCCTTAAATTGGAAATTATTTTTTATTTCATAACAGAGTTTTTATTAAAACTCGCTCAATTACTCGCAAAATAAAAGTAATTTTGAAATTTTTATTTTTTAAGGAGCTATATTACTCTATATTATACATATTTTTTTTTTTTTTATATTATGTATAAATAAATATATATTTATATAGTAGAAACTGCCGGTAGTGTCTGTTGAAACAGCGAATAGAATATATATCAAGATTCCTTACTGGGGATATATAGAAACTAACAAGGATGGAAATTCGATTAAAGATTAGGTTGAACAAAACGAATTATATTTAATACACGACGTAAAGCTTCTGGCGTTCTTTAATAGTGGTCGCTATTGAAGAGGACATAATCCAGAAAACGTATTTGTGAGTGAAAAAATAGAAAACCAGTTCCATAAATATATGCTGTTGCCTATACCCAGATCACAAGTCAGACTTATCATGTGTTGTACCTATCGGAGGTTAGACCTAAAACTGTTAATTTCCAGAGTAGGTTTTCAATTTTAAATAGGTTAGATGGGATGAGTTTTTCAAGATGTTAGATAACAAAGTGAAATGTAACCAACCAATTTCCACTAACTATGAAAAACTTCTTAAAACTGTTCAAAAGATATCAAGAAATACCATTAGTCTATATCAAGGATATAGATAAAACTACATCCTAGATTTAAGACAACATTTAATAGAAGACTTAAAAGAAACTATTTTTTTTTTCAAGTATTTATTTATTTGAGATGACCTTGTGATCTTAATCAAAATTGTTCACTAACGTTAACTTCTAAAATTATATAAAATGCATAGTTAATATATTACACACAATGATCGAGGGAAACTTCCAATGAAGAGTCTGCAAACTTATATATTAGTAAAACTTCTACCAATCAACAATAATATATATATGTATTTATGTCATATCATTTAGTCTTGCAGAATTGCGGACGTGGGCCTTCAGACGATTTTTATGCCTTTGCGTGGCATTGAATTTTTTTTCTAATAGTTGGTATCATTATATCTTTTAGAGTATGGTCATTTTAATACCTTTCCATTCAGATACACCTTTTTCTTAACTATTTCAAAACTGCCTTTATATTAAATATGATTCTAGTAGCTCGCATCATGTACAATGCAAATGTTTTTTCAATTTGTACAGTAGGTCTTTATGCCAAAGGTTTGAGCAACACCAAAAAAGACGCCGCACAAATACCCCGTAGGTCTACTAATTACATTTGTAACACGACATACTTGATACATGTTTGAATGTCTGGTACGAAATCAAACTGATGGTTAGGAATTAGTTGACGTTCTTGAAAAATAGGTTTCAATCTTATATAAAGTAACTTCTCGAAGACTTTTGACATTGTAAGAATATCGGCCTGTAGGAACTAGTTCTTTCAAGGAGCTACCCTGGTTTTAATAACAAGATAACAAGTGTTTTTTTTTCAATTTTCTGGTACATATTCTATACTCAAGCAAGCATTAAATAAGTAAGTTAGTAAGATAATTGCTTTGCGATATAATTCTTTAATTATACGTGGACTTCTGTTATAACCCGGAGACTGTTTAGAGTTAAGGTTTTTATCTATTTCATTTGCAACTTCAAAAATAATGAAATGTTTAATACGATCTATGAGTGGATTTGAAATATGTAAATACGTTGTGTTCAAATCGAGATTGTATGTTGTTAGGCTGAAATACACACTACAAGTAACGCGTAAAAGTTTCAGATACTTCCTATTCACATTGATTCCATGTACCATCCTTTAAAATTGATGACTTATATACATATACTTAAAGTCTTTTCATACGTCTGGTTGCTTTCTATAACGAGTAATCTATGTTTTCTGTAGCACATAAGTTACTTATATATGTTTTAAAAGTTTTATACTTTACTTGATAAATTTTCTTTTTTAGGATTTTGTTAAGTTGATTTTATTTGCTTAGTCCACTGGATGCTATTTTCCCTTGTACTTCTTTCAAGTTGAATTAATTCTCTTATCTCTGAAGGATAAATCTTTTCTTTATCAATCATAACTTTGTAATTCTGTATAAATTGTTTAGCAGTTATAATTATGTTATCTGTAAATTTTTGTACAAATGTCTTTATGTCTCTTGTTGACTTAAGTCTTATTGAGAAGTCAATACTTCTTTCCATATATTCACGAAAGAATTCCAAAGTTTGTATACTTATTTATGAGCATAGGGTATTTTTTTTTTTTATTATTTAACAACTTAATGCTAAGAACATTAGCATATGGCCTGATATAAGACATTCCTTCAAAATTAGTATACTTATTTTTTCGATAAATTAGCCAAGTAATTCTTATTGGATTATTCATCTTTTTTTTTCTTGATCGCTTTTTATTTTTTATTTGTTTTAGACTAATTATTTTTCAGTTAATTAAGGTCTATCATTAGTATGGCTAATGTTTGGGTAATATTAGTCTTCTTCTTCTTCCTCGCCTTAATCCCAACTACTTGGAGTCGGCCATCTTTATCCTAAACTCCCACTTGACAAGCTCTCCCACATCATCTACACTCACATCAGCTGTCCTCATATCGCATTCAATAGCATTCTTCCATCTCTTTTTTGGTCTTCCTCTACCTCTTCTTCCTTCAACATTCATTTCTATAACTGTTCTTACAGCTTCCGATTCTTCTCTCCTCATAATATGACCAAACCATCTAAGTCTATATTCTCTCATCTTATTCACGATTTAAATAATATAATTTGATTATATTATTTTTTTAATTACCATTAGTACTTTTTATTGAAACGATCAAGAATCTTAATCGATATAATTAAATATTTTTTATAAATACACAAGTATATTAATTAATATATATATATATATATATATATACACACTACTTAGTCTAGTAATTTTTTAATTGGATTGAAAAAATCTTACTATTTTCAGTATATTGATATCTGGTATGTTTGGTCCAGCACAAGTATGAACATAGTAAGATCCACCTTCACTAAAATAAGCTTTACTAAAAGCACATGACGACCCACAGGTCATACATTCGGATGTACTGCTGGAATTGGTACTAATCTTAAATAAATACTGATCCTCTGGTTTATTTTCGATGGTAGCTAAATAATATCTATTTAGATATTTAAATACGACTGTATAAATTTTATATTTGTATTACTTGTATAATTAGCAATTAGATATTTCATTTCTTTATAAAATAAATATGTTATACATAATGTGATTTATTATGTGGAATACCCTCATTTTCTTAGAAAACTATTGAACATTTTAATTTTTGTAATAAAGAAAATTGTATTGTTCAAAAAAACTAAAATATTAAGAAATACTTTTTTTTTCATAGATTTGAAAAAATTTTTTATTCGCGAGAGAAATAAAAAAAAATAGATTTTATAATATTATAGTTTTTTAAACGAAATAATTTTTCTCTTTATTTTAATGAAAAATGTTCAATAGTTTCAAAAAATCAGTGTTTTATCCAAAATCTATCATCCTGTATAGAGAATAATTTTATTTAACGCTATATACTGCATTTGTCTTATATAATATTTTTTTTCTTTAAAATTACATACATGTATGTATCATTCATGTGATATAAAGTATTTTTATGTTAATCTATTATGTCCTATAAGATGTAAACTTTATTTTTTTAATGATTACTTTAATATTTAACTAACTTATAAAATAGAAAATGATGTTAATAGAAATATGATTGGTCGATATCAACTTTTGGACCAGTGTTTTAGAAGTTATTAATAATTTAAAGTATTAACTGGAGGTGAGGTGTGGATTGATTTTTTATCACTAAATATTTCTTAGCCCCAGTTCTCTAACCGTTTAGGTATAAAAAAGTTAATAACTTCTGAAATACTCGTATAAAATTTGTTGTAAACTAATAATTTTCTTAATCACATCATTATAAACTATTTTATAAGCTAAAAAATTATGTATTTGTCATTTGAAAAATTAAAGTTAACTCAAATTCTTATAAAGTATAATGGATAAATATAAAAAAAAATGTATAATAGATCAATGGAGATGCATATCTAATAAACAAAAATTCACAAAACAATTATTATTTTAAGAGAAATTGAATGGATAGTATTTAAAGCACCATATAATAAGAATAGATCACTTGTGGCTAATAGTATTTAAAATTTATAACTATATTTAAAATATTAATTTGAAATTTAAGAATATAAAAAATATGCAAATATAATACATATTAAAAAACCACGAGGCACGTCCAAAAAATAAGTGTACTCAATTTATGTAAGGTTCAAAAAAAATTTAGTAAAACAAAACATACTTGGTTACACTCGTACATATGTAAGTTATTTTTCGACATAGTCACCATCTCTCTCGATGTAAGTGGTGAGCCGCGGGATCAATTTTTTGATGCCTGCCTCGAAGAAATCTCCCGCCAGCTCTTTTACCAATTTCTCCACCTCCCTCTTCACCACCTTGTCCGTTGAAAACTTGTTCAAACCCATGTGTATCATAAAGGGAAGTGAAGAGATGGAAATCTGAAGGGGCCAGGTCAGGGGAATACGGGGGTGGTTCAAAACGTCCCATCCAAAAGAGTCCAGGAGTTGCTTCGTTGCGTTGGTCGTGTGAGGTTTGACATTTTCATGCAGCAGACAGACTCCCTTCGTCAGCATGCCCCTTCTTTTATTCTGAATCGCCCTTTTCAATTTTTTTAGCATCTCACAGTATCTTGCCACGTTAAGGGTCTCCCCTTGAGGCAGATATTCAATCAAAATTATGCCTTTATGGTCCCAAAACACGAATATCATGATTTTTTTGACTGAAATTTAGGTTTTGAATTTCTTAGCGGAGAGTGACCAGGTGTGACGCCATTGTTGAGAATGCCTTTTAATTTCAGGCGTGTAGTGGGCAACCTAAGTTTCGTCTCTAGTAACAATAAAGTAGAGAAAATCATCGTCTTCGAGTTCGTAACGTTCCAAAAAATCATTGGAGCTCTGCACTCGATTCACCTTAAGCTGTCAGCTGTTTTGGGACCCACCTCGCAAATAATTTCCAAAATCCGAGAGTTTCTGTGATTGTTTCGTGTATCAGGGATCTGGAGATTAGCGGAAACATCGCAGAAAGTTCATCTAACGTTTGCGATCGTCACGGACCGCAATCTCGATTTTTTCCACAAGTTCGTCAGTAACAATTGAAGGTCTTCCGCTCCTCTGATCGTCATGCACGGAATTACGGCCATTTTTAAACTCGCCACACCACTTGTATACACTCGTATGATTCATAGCTCTATTACCGTAGACAGTTTTCACGTCATTATAAATTTCAACCGGAGCTTTTCCTTTCGCGACGAGATAACGAATGACGACGCGAATTTTTCGCGAGAAATGTTACTGTGTCAAGAGTTTTCAACACACTAATCTCGGATTGGTCTCGTTTTGAAGGGGAGGAGTCACGCTACGTGGCAATGTTGCTAACATGTCGAAAAAGTATTCCCTACAGCTGTGAGAGTACCCGTACAATTACTTTCTGGACGTGCCTCGTATAATTCGTGAATACGTATTTTTAGTAATTTGTGTGGCTCTTTGAGTTTTTTTTTTAAATCAATATTTTAAACATATTTTTAATTAAAAGTACTAAAACAATTACTTTTTATACAGGGTGAGAGTTAAATTTTTAATTTTAAGAATTTTGTTTCAATTTAATTTACTAAAATAATTAAAAAAGGTAAACTGTGAGTATGAATAATATTCATAGAATATATTCTATATTTGAAAATAGGCCTATCCGTTATTTTTCGTCTGTTTTTTTAATAGGATCAATATCTGGAGCAGTTACAAATTGAAACATTGTTCACAGATTATTGAACTATTTAGCTATCGTATTATTAAGATTAAAAAATTATTATGGTTCAATATCGCGTTTAGTTTAATAAAATTATTTACATAAAGTTTGATTTTAAATCCCACTTGAGAAGTTTCACTACTGTAAATTTTCCACTGGTCAGAGGTTTTAAGCTACCATCATGGTTAACTATGCAAATATGTCTGTATTTATCACCATCATCTTGAGTTGTTGAATATATTAATGCAATTTGGTGTTCAGGACCGATTAATAGAGATTCATCAAATGTAAGCCAACCACCATCTTGCTTAAATTTATGTACCTAATTGTATGTAGTTCTTTACAGTATTAGACATATGATAAAATTTATGGGTACTGGTATTATTTGAGGTTGTACAATACTTTTCAAACATAAATTGTAATTTTTACAAAATAAATTTAATGACTACAACTCATAAAATTTACTGGATGTAATAATTATTAAATATCATTACTTTGTTCAGATAAAGAAAACTTACAAAAATTGAGTTATTTTCTGTAAAAAATGTTTAATTTATTCTATTCATATTTCTTTTAATCACATTATATTCAGTAGTATTAAATAAATTATATACTCGAAAACATTAAAAATAGGATTTTAATATTACATTCTAGTGCAGAAATAAGTAAAATTACTAGGCATGTCCCCTTTTTGAAATTAATTGATATCAGGGCATGTAATAAGAGTTTTAATTATCACTTAATATGATTTAATTTGAAGATCACAACGATTAAACTTAACACGAAATTATGAATACTAAAATTAAAACAAAAACAATATTTTTTTCCAAATTTCCCTTATAAAAAGTAGCCAGAAAAATGTTATTATTATTGTTTTTTACGGTGCAACTGCTTACAATATGTATAAACAGTGTCATTACCATCTAAATATAACTATATTAATGTTTTTAATTAAAGAAACCTTACATGTTTTATATCAATTGTGTCATTAACTATATAATGAACTAGTTGAGCTTCATTTTGTATTCTGTTCATCCATAAAACAAAAATGTTAGAATCATCAGACCATAAAACATTTTTTAGTATTACTTCTTTGCTGCAATAGGAAAAATGATTAAAAATATGATTAGAATTTCTATTTAATCAATTGTTAAATGATGTGTTACGAATAATATTCATGACATATAAATATATATAGTTAATCCTATAAAAATTAATATAAGTTATAAGTAAAGTGTGGAATTATTTCACTTGTTTGGTAAATCAGAAAACAAATATAATATTAATATCATTATTATGACATGCGTAGTATAATCAAATCTAATGAATATTTATAAATTAATATGCTAGGCATTTTTACTTTGATACAATGGTACATTTAAGTTGTAAAGTAGTACTGTTTTAGTTCTATTTTAAGGTAGTCAATACATTAAAATAAAATAAATAAATACAGATATGAAAATATTATAATATAATATTTAAAAACTATATTATAGTTTGTTACGTTAATTTTATTTATGAATTTTTTATCAACGGATCTAAAACATCGCTAACATTTCAGGGACTGAAATTGATTTTCTGGAAAATGGTTATAACTGAATTTTTCCGGATTTTCTAACCGAAATCAAAACCAAAACCGATCATTTTTCAAAACTAAGACATGAAACCGAAACAGTAAACATATCGAATGATTTTAGTCTTTAGCTTAATCCTAACTTGCGTTTTGCACTTCTTACAAATTCCGGGGTGCTAAAATTAATCTAGTTTTGTACAACTTATTAATGCAGGCAATCACCTTAAAAAAATCAACTTACGAAAAATCTTTTGGAGGATTTATTTGTTTAACACTATGGTTATGATCTTTCACATTTAATGAAGAAAAGAAAAGTTCAACGTCCGGATTGTGGTTAGTTACCTGGACACAAAACATAAAATTAGTAAAAGTTTATAACTGTAATAAATTTTGATAGTACAATGTTAAATATATTTGAGATGGTTGACTTTGTTTTATGATAACTTATAAAGTTATTCAATTAGAAAGAAAAATAGAAAAATTTTATAGACAGCCGTTTTAAATCAAATACTTTTGAAGTCGTTATAGTTTAATCAATTTTTTTAAGTGATAGCAGTTAAAATTATTTGTAAAATGTGCCGTGAAAATATAAAATGAAATATAGTTTATTGTATACATAAAGTAAAATTAAAACTATATTAAAAATATTATTAATTTAAAAAAACTAAAAAATATTAAAAATATTAAACTCAAAAGCCACAAAAAAATTAATGAAAAGTCGCGGATACGTATTTCGGAAACAATGTTACCATTATCAACGCTAAACACATACTGACACCCCGACTAGAAAAAACTCCCTTATATACCCCTAGTGACCTTATCACCTAGTGACGTTATCACTAAGTAATATTATCACATTTTGCCAGTTTACACAAGTTTAATAATGAATTTTTCAGTGGGCCAAGATCCCAATTAATTAAATTGTTTTTATTTTTAAACATTTCTATTGCTTCTCTGATATTAAGTTCTTTGTAATTATTTACGTTTTTAATTAGTTTTATGGTTTTAATAGAGTGATNGAACATTTATTGACACATAATCACTCTATTAAAACCATAAAACTAATTAAAAACGTAAATAATTACAAAGAACTTAATATCAGAGAAGCAATAGAAATGTTTAAAAATAAAAACAATTTAATTAATTGGGATCTTGGCCCACTGAAAAATTCATTATTAAACTTGTGTAAACTGGCAAAATGTGATAATATTACTTAGTGATAACGTCACTAGGTGATAAGGTCACTAGGGGTATATAAGGGAGTTTTTTCTAGTCGGGGTGTCAGTATGTGTTTAGCGTTGATAATGGTAACATTGTTTCCGAAATACGTATCCGCGACTTTTCATTAATTTTTTTGTGGCTTTTGAGTTTAATATTTTTAATATTTTTTAGTTTTTTTAAATTAATAATATTTTTAATATAGTTTTAATTTTACTTAATTAACTAGCCACAAGTGATCAATTTTTATTATATTGTATACATTTTAAATAAAAGAATAGTTTTTATTCCTATATTTTTTTTCAATAACAAAGATTATTATTTAATTTACAAAAAACAGCAACTAATATAAAAACGATAGCACAGTGTTGTCGCGGCACAGTGAGTAAGTGGTCTAGTTGGAACAAGTATGGATGATATCTGACAGCGATTAAAATTACAATTAAATAAAATTAAAAATCAGCGTTTCATAAGAAACGCTTTGATGCAAATTTGTGGATATTGTTTAATTTTAAAAAAATTGGTAGATTATTCCAAAATTAACATGAACTCCTATTTCTCTAATAATATCCTTATTAGTAGTTCATTGATTTATAAGTATAATATATGAATAACTACTTATAATAATTAAATTTTGTATGAAATTGATAGTCAATAATTTAATATTGTAATTTTTATGGAAAAACTATAAAAAATAATATAATAGTTATTACTTCTATGGTAAATGAGAAAAAAAATCGGAGGGCTTGATACAAAATTTGATAGAAAATAATTTGTTGTTAATTATAAATAAATGGTATTCAAGGAATTTTTATCAGAGTCAAAAATATTTTTTTCTTGATCAATTTTTTGTACTGATTTCAAATCTTCAATTAGATTTTATTTATCAAGAAAAAAAGTTAAAAAATGCAAAAATTACCGATTTTTAAAATTGTAATTTTTTTGGGGATTTCACCCATTTACTGAAAACGAAAGAAACTTTTTCAATTTTTAAGGGCAATGGCTTCAACTAGATACAATTTGTTATATTTAGCGTACTGTTAAGAAAAATCGATTCGATAAGAGCCAAGAAAAAGTAACGACAAACATACAAAAAAAAAAAATAAATAAAAATAAACACATCTGGGTAAAATAAATATTTTATCACCATTGCATCGAAGCTTTAAAAAAATAATAGTTTCTGAATAAATTTACCTTTGGGTAATGAAAACTGATTAAATGACTGTATTGATCATACAATGTGTCAGGTATTCCATAATATGGTATTTTTATTTTCGGTACTAATGTATCGTTAAATGATGCGTACACTAGATTGGTTCCAGCTGGAGACAACCACACAGCACAATTTGATTCGAGTATTTCTTCTATAATATCATATAATTTTGTGTAACACTCACTTTTAAATTCATGTTAGTAACATTTTGATAGCATTTAATGGATACTTCTATGTGATTAATTAAATTAACCCAATACTTGCAAATAAAGAAGGATATTTTTATTTTAAAATAAATTGTTTAAGAAAAATTAAAAACGTCTGTGATAAAAATATATCTCCTATTATTATATTATGAATTGGTATACTGTATTATGCGGAACAATATCAAATCTGAAACACGTGAATTTTTCGTAAAAGGGATATTTCTCTTCATAATCGACGTTCTTAAACAGTATCATATACTTGTATCATAAAATAATTGTTTTCTAATATTGTATAAATTCAAATTACTTACATGATTTTTTTAAATATTTAATATAAATGAATAATTAATTATCTTTTTTAAATTAGGAGCTCTATCATAGAAAAGATATTTATGAGTCTAATAGAAATTTACCAGAAAAGAAATCTTTAGAAATGCTTTTATTTTAATAGACTTTATTAGTTTATTAATAGTTTGAGTAAAACGTGTAATATTTTATTGAAACTATTTACAATATTGAGAATTTTTTTGGCTTTCTTGAATGTTAAAATTTTTGTTCATGAATTTATTTTAAGTTCATGTTTCAGTCATCATAATTTGGTTAAAACTACCAGAAATCCATTTAATTTGTTAATTTCTTGTAAAGAAATGTGACTATTTTGACGTTAGCGATTTTTATATATACATTTCTTAACTTAATTCTCTCTGTGAATGGGAATAAGAATACTACTACGGCCTCTCGCCATTCGTAATATGCGACTAATGAGGTCATGCCAATTCGACAGCCGGGGTAATATTTTTGTCAAAAAATATGAGAAGTCCTCAACAAAACTTAGGGTTATTGTCCCATCTTGGATGTATACGGGGATAACAAGTGAGAGGAAATAAAGTAGTTAAAAAAGTAGAAGGCCTAAGGAATAAAGTTTTTGATACAAGCCGGACAACTTGGGAGTTAGCTGTTTCACCAGTCATGTGTACAGGTCTACCCAATGCTTGTACTGTCAACGGTGTAAAGACATCACCACTTAACTATAGGCTGCACTCGAGTATAAGGGAGAATGATAGATAAAAAGTAAGAATAGGTACTTGAAATGTTGGAGCATTCACTGGTAGGAGTAGAAAACTAATAAAAGTGAACATTTTTTGTGTGCAGGAAACTAAGTGGCAAGGAGAGAAAGTAAGGGTTATAAAATAATATACTCAAGTAAATCTGATACAAAGAATGATGTAGGGATAATAATGAACGAGGAGATTAAAAGTAAAGTAGTAGAAGTAGATAGGAAAAGTGACAGAATTATAGTCGTAAAATTAATTTTTGAGGGAAAAGTANAATAATATACTCAAGTAAATCTGATACAAAGAATGATGTAGGGATAATAATGAACGAGGAGATTAAAAGTAAAGTAGTAGAAGAAGTAGGAAAAGTGACAGAATTATAGTCGTAAAATTAATTTTTGAGGGAAAAGTGTTGAATGTAATAAGTGCCTATGCACCACAAGTAGGATGTGATGAAATAGACAAAAAAGTGTTTTGGAGAGAGATGGATGAAATGATACAAGGGGTACCTGGCAATGAGGATGCGGTGATGGGTGGAGATATGAATGGAAATGTAGGTAATGAGAGGAGAGGATATGAAAGAGTACATGGAGGGTATGGTTTTAGTGCGAAGAATGATGCTGGAGAAAGAATCCCACATTTCGCAGTATCTTATGATCTTGCTGTGGTTAATACATTTATTAGAAAAAGGAAAGAACATTATATAACTTATAAGAGTGGGAGAAATAGATCACACATTAATTATTTTATGTGAAAGAGAGAGAGAGCGTAACGTGAGTAAAAGATTGTAAAGTTATACTAGGTGAGAGTGTAATTACTTAACATTAACTGATGGTAATGAAATTGTGGTGTAGTGGTAAACAAATATACAAAATCAGAAAAATCAAGGATCTGGTGATGGGAATTGAAAGGGGAAAATGAAAATGAGTTTGTATAGACGGTAAAAGAAAGGACAGTGTTGAATGTCGATGGAGACATAAATGATGTGTGAAATAGATTTGCTAGTTGTGTTAAGAATATTTCAAAGGAGATTGTTGGTGATAGTAGGAGTAGAATGCCAAGAAACAAAGAAACCTGGTGGTGGGATGAGGATGTTCAAAAAATCATAGAAAGTAAAAATCAACAATTCAAAGTATGGCAGAAGAGCAAAAGGAGAGAATATTGGATGGAGTATAAACGCTTGTTCAAAGAAGACAAGTGTGCAGTAAGTAAGGTGAAGTTTAAGAGGTATGATAAGTTGTATAATAGGCTTGGAACAAAGAAGGCGAGAAAGAAATCTATAGACTTGCAAAAGTAACAGAGAAAAGATCTAAAGATTATAATTATATAAGGTATATAAAAAATATTGATAATAGGATACTATCTAGTGATAATGATGTGAAAAAAAGACGGAAAGAGTATTTTGAAAAATTACTAAATGAGGAATCTCCAAAAGAGACGTTAGAGGATATTTCGTGGAATGAAGGACTGATAGATTTAATTAATGAGAAAGAGATATGGGAGGCTATGGCATCAATCAAAAAGAATAAAGCAGTTGGACCAGATGAATTATCAATTGAAAAATGGACAATATTAGGCGGTGTTGACATAAGATGATCAAAGGATCTATTAAATAAAATCTTATTAAAAGGGAAAATTCCATATGAATGGAGGAATAGTGCCGATAGTTAAAAATAGGGGGTGACATACAGGAGTGTGGATATTATATATGCATAAAGTTTATGAGTCATAGTATGAAAAATTGGGAAAAGGTAATAAATAAGAAATGAAACATCGGTATCTAAGAACCAGATTGGATTTATGTCTGCTAAATCAACAATGGAACCATTATTTTATGTGAAGCAACTAATAGAAAAATTTAGGGAAAAGAAGAAAGAAGTGTGTGTGGCATTTATAGATTTAAAACGTATAATAGAGTACCGAGAGAGGTATTAAAGTGGGCAGAAAAGGATTCCCGAAAAAGTACATCAATATAGTAGAAGATATGTATGATAGCACTTGTAACGGGGTAAATTAATAGAGAAATACAAGGAGAGGTTCCGTGGTGCATGTTATTCGCTGACAATATAGTGTTAATAGGAGAAAATAGGGAGGAAATTAATCAAAGACTAGAAGACATAGAATATTAGAGTAATCATTATCTATAAGATTACTTAAATACGTAAAATAAATATTTTGACCTTCATACGCCCAATCAGGGATACCATTGTAAAAATCTTTAGATCCGTCAAACGTTAATTGATGAACAGTATTTGGTTGTACAGCTGTAGGAATGTAAAAGATATTATAGTCATCAACAATTATTAAACTTGAATTGTTTGCAGTCCATTTGGCCAATCTTAACTGTCTAGGCTGATTATAGCTGTTTCTGAGTGTAACTTGTTTCCTAAGTTTCAAATATTCAATGTGTTTTTGAAAAAAAATAACAATTGAAATTATTAATTTATCCTCAAATAATTGAAAATAAATTCATAACCAAGGGATCATTTTGGGGACAACTGGTTGGAGGGTAACTTGTCTTGAATTTTTAACTGCGAAATCAAGGTTGGGTTTTTTAAATACAGTAATCATGTAGAAAAAAAAGTTCATAAATGAACATTTTTGGAATGTGAAGTGACCTGTTTTTAATTTTACCCGCTCTAATGAAAAATTGAAATAACACCACTGCTTAAGATCTTTACAGTAATAGACATATTAAAATTATAAATGGCAATATTTAAAATATTATATGCTTAAAATATTTTAAATATATATATATATTTTTATAATTTACCCATTTTTTATGTTAATCACATCGTAGAACGCTGTATATGAATATTTAAAAATCTACGATAAAATAAGTCAATAAATGTTAATTTTATTAAAATATGTATGTACAGCTTTTATTACTTTTGTATAGTTGTAAGCTACCAAAAGGTATTTTTTGTCAGCTGATAAATTATAATCATAACAAAATCGGACATTCTAAAAAATAAAAATACAATGTTTTAATTAGTATTCTATTGTGAAAATTAAAAATATATAACTTTACCTGCATTGTATTGTATGCTAAAATTGATTTATTATTAGTTTTGACATTTAGTAACACAATATGCCCACTAATGTCTTTAGTAAGAATTTCTTCATCTAGTTAACATAAAAATTTTGCCAAATTATGTATAAAGAATATACGGAGCGAGTTTGAAAAATTTATGATTAGGTAAAAACACGGAAAATAGTGTAACAAAGTATCTAAGTGTTAGAAAAATAATTAAAATATAATAGTTTTAATCATCATCCTATTAATTTATAAAAAAAAACGAGGTCGTGATATATTTGGGACAAGTATAGATAATATCTGATAGTGATTAAAATCACTATCAAAAGAAACGCTTCGTTGCAAATCTGTAGATAGTGTTAAATTTATGAAATTGGTGGATTATTCTAAAAATCAAAATTAACTCATATTTTTTGTTCATTTTTGACTGTCATTAGCATATAGAAGATAGGTCACCGGGACAAATTTTTTTTTAACTTTTAGTACATAATGTAAGCTTTATTTTAACATATGTTTAAAGGACATAGTATTTCTAGAACTTTTTTAAATGTTAACTTTAAATGTATTTTTAATATCCAATGTGGTCAAGTGAAGAGTCAGTTTTACACAAAAAATACATTAAATGAAAGGTAAATATAAGGTATCTATAAAAAACATTATGTAAATTTGATAACTTTTAAATAATTATGACAGTTTTAATAAAAAACGATAAAAATTACTGATTTTAGCTTCGATGCGAAGCTGAGAAGGTAATTTTTTTTTCTTAATCAGATCATTTCTCTATATACCGGGGGGTTCAAATCTGAAAAATGCTTAAAGAAAGTAGAACTTTTTCAACTTAACTTTTGAAAGTATTCCGGAAAGTCTGACACTTTTATCTATATCTTAAATTAAAGCTAATGTAATATACTTTTTATGGAAAAAAAACATTTCGGATTTTATATTGACTTTAAAAAAGTTCATCTATCATCTACAAAAAAAAAATCATATTGATTAGTTCATATTTGAAAAAAAAATTTTATGGCATTTTGAAGTAAAAAAAATCGATAAAATGTCGAAAATTAGCGAATTTTATATTTGTAATTTTTTTTTTTTGGAGGTTTCCCACATTTCTGGGGAACGAAAGAATTTTTTTCCATTTTTGAGGGTAATGTCGTCGNGAAGTAAAAAAAATCGATAAAATGTCGAAAATTAGCGAATTTTATATTTGTAATTTTTTTTTTTTGGAGGTTTCCCACATTTCCGGGGAACGAAAGAATTTTTTTCCATTTTTGAGGGTAATGTCGTCGAACGTCTAAAGTTCGGGCCGCACATTACTCGTGTGGCCCAACGGGCCCAGAAAGTCATGAATTGCCTGGCGGGAATCATGCCCAATCTGGGAGGGCCGAGAGAGATGCGGCGCAGACTTTTAGTCAGCGTCGTACACTCGGTCCTTCTGTACGGGTCCCCGGTTTGGGCGGATACTCTTGAGTATTCATCCAAAAACCGTGAAGCCCTGTTCAGGGTGCAGAGGCGGACGGCGATCCGGACAGTTTCGGCGTACCGAACGGTGTCCGAGGTGGCGGCGGGTATCCTGTTGTCACTGCCGCCCGCCGACCTGCTCGCCGAGGAACGCGCCGCCGGGCATGAGCTCCGCCGAGAACGCAACCGGTCCCTCGAACCCGAGGACCGGCTAGCGCTCAGGCGGATGACCATGCTCCGGTGGCGAACTCGCCTCTCGGAGGAAACGACGAGAGGCGAGTGGATCAGGTCCCTCATAGTGCCCGATTGGCTGGACAGGTGTGTGGACCGGACTTACGGTGAGATGACTTATCGTCTCACTCAAGTGATGTCCGGGCACGGCTGCTTTAACGAGTACTTACACCGTATTCATAAAGTAGCCGCGCCGACGTGCGACCACTGTTCTGATCGCCCGGGAGAGGCTGATAGCGCTCTGCACACCCTCTTCCGGTGCGAGGCGTGGGCCCAGGAGCGGGACTCTTTGGAGTCCCGTCTGGGGTCCATGCTCCGAGTCGGGTCCTTGGTGGACCTGATGTTGGGAAGCCGGGAGGCGTGGAGGCTCGTCCAGGCGTTCGCCGAGTCCGTCTTGAAAAAGAAGGAGGAAGCTGAACGCCTGAGACAGAGGCAGCCGCGCCGCCCAGTACAGGAGGACCTAAGGCGATGGTTTAGGCCGGCGCCTTAGGTATTCGCGTTTTATGTTTTTATATTTTTGTTTCATGAGTTATTTGTGCCCCCTTCGCAAAGTCCTACCCCCACCACCATGTGGTGCAACCTGGGCAACGGATCTCACTCTGGGATCCGGCTAACGGGGGAGGCCACACCACGTTCTTGATTAATTTCGGGCTGATTCACAACGTGGTGGTGTGAGTTTTAAAGACGACGTGGGCCGCCCTGAAGTAATACCTAACGGTAGTTCCGGGGCGGTCCACAACCGAGCCGATCGGAGGAAAAAAAAAAAAAATAAGGGTAATGTCTTCGACTAGATACGATTTGTGATCTTTTGACGTATCGATGAAAGAAATCGTTGAGAGCTAAAAAAAAGTAGTAATAGATACACAAAAAAAAAAAAAATAAAAAAAATCACATCATAGTAAAACCAATATCTTCTCATCTTCGCAATGAAGCTAAAAATTGTCGAATACATCGTTTTAAAAGGGTTGTGAATATTTTTTTTGTGTTTTTGCCCCATCTAGTTATGACTCTAAAGTAAAACGACCCATGTAAAATTTATTTTTGTAACGCCTTTTATATAGTAAACACATTTAAATATATTAAAATAATAAGTCTAAATGATTAATCATAATCATTCATAATTACAAATCTACGATATTATACAGAGTATCTCAGACTTAATAGTCGTCGCTTATTACTTAGTTACAATTATCATTTTGTAGAAAATTTTTATAAATAATTATTGCCTTCTTAAACTACGCTTAAAACGTTTATTTTATTTGTTATCATTAGTAAAAAATATGCTTTAAAAATATACGCAATCTAAGAAGGCAATAATTATTAAAAAAAAATTTAACAAAATTATAAAGAAATAAATGTTGTCTAGGTATCAGATATCTGTATATTATGTATTGAAGTATTTATAGTATTGAAGCTCAAGTAGTGTTTTTCTAATTTTTGATTATTTTTTTAGGATTGTAAACTGTTTTTGAATTTTTTCTTTACATTATTTAAATTATGTATATTCATATTTACCTGAGACCCATGTTGCATTAAATTCTGTCGTATAATGCCATTTGTAGTCCATAACTGTATTTATTTTTAAAGGATTCAAATATATTGTAGTATTTTGGTTTTTATGAATTGAGTCTATTGTAATGTGGAAAATGATGCCAATTATAGTTATAATTAAACATATGGTCAATAAAAAAGATAAATATTCATTTTTTCTTTTTTTTTTCTGAAAAATAATTAGATTAAGTTTAGGTCAATTTTTAAGATCTTAGTTTATAAAATCATTAGAAACATGTAATCAAATTCATGAGAGCACCTAAGGTAACCCTACTAATTCTTTTATATCCTTACAAATATGAACATTTTATGTATTTTTATATAGAAATATTTTTAAGGAGGAGAAAATAAAAAACATTTTTTTTCATTTTTCTAGCTTTGATGTGAAGCTGTGAAGGTATTAATTTTACTATGATGTTTTTTTTATTTCTGTCTGTAACCACTTTTTTTCAACAATACGTCTAAAGATCACAAATCGTATCTAGTCGAAGACATTACCCTCAAAAAATGAAAAAAAATTCCCTCGTTCCTGTAAATGGGGGAAATTCCTAAAAAAATTACAATTTTAAATATCGTTAATTTTCGAATTTTTAGCTTCGATGCGAAGCTGAGAAGGTATTGATTTTACTATGATGTTTTTTTTTTTTTTTTGTGTCTGTTACCACTTTATCTCAGCTCTCACCGAACGGATTTCTTTCAAAGATACGTNTATTTTAGCTTTGATGCGAAGCCGAGAAGGTATTATTTTACTATGATGCGTTTTTTCTTTTTTTTTTGTGTCTGTTACCACTTTTTCTCAGCTCTCACCGAACGGATTTCTTTCAAAGATACGTCAAAAGATCACAAATCATATCTAGTCGAAGACATAACCCTTAAAAATTGAAAAAATTTCCCTCGTTCCCCGTAAATGGGGGAAACCTCCAAAAAAATAACAAATTTAAAAATTGCTAATTTTCGAAATTTTTTCAATTATTTTTACTAAAAACTGCCGTAACTTTTTCAAAAATGAACATATGAATATAATTTTTTTTTTTATAGATGCTTGATGTCTTTACCTATCATTTAGTATATTTTTTTTGTAAATTTGACCTTTTTTCTGCCCACAGGGGGGGATTTAAAATGAAAAATTTTTCACAAAAAATTAACTTTTTCAACTTAACTTTTGAAAATGTTCCAGAAGGTCTGACACTTTTATATATATCTTAAATTGAAACTTATGTAATATTCTTTAATTTGAAAAAAAAAATTTGACTTCTGGACTTGTCTTTACGGCGAAAATTGCTACCGAATGCTATTTTCGTGTGAAAATTCTCGATTTTATTATTTATATTATATTTAACTTTATAATGCTATAACTTATTGAAAAGTTTATGGATCCACACAATTTTTTTATGAGAAATAATATTTTTTAATAAACCCTTTTTCATT